ACGAGGGGCGGTGGTTGTGGGGATTTCCACCGGCTTTCTTGAACGGTTCTTACCACGATGGACGTGGCGTTCACAGTACTTATGTCCACTCACAACATCTCTTGAACATCTCCATTTCTTCCCATCAGTTCTCCTACACCTCCCTGGCTCTGGATCCATATTTGTTTTTCCCCAATACCCTGAGTGTAACACTTCATAATTTACAAAAGAAAAAAATGTTACTAACTTTTGGTTCTTGGCATTCATGTATGACTAGTGCTGAAGTCAAGAATTTCGTTAAGAGCATTCAAGATTTGATATATATATATTTATTTTATGTATATACACTTGGTATATCTTTCTAGATGCAACCGTATAAATTTCAAACCAAATATTGTTCATCTGACCACCCTTCACTGTTTACGACTTCGCCACTACATATATCATACAAAGTTCAAGAATATGTGATTATGTAGTTAAAGTAAAAGTATACTAGTTTAGCACTTCTTATTGTTGTGTATTCTCCACTTTGCACACCATCAGATCATTCAAAGGATATATAAACAAAATGCTTCTTAAAATATTAAAAATAAAATACGTTACCTACTACATGTCTACAACAGGTAAAAATGACCTGATAGTGTAAAATTTGTTTACATTGACGGTATTTATTACTTAAACTCCGTAATAAACAATTCGAATTTGGAAAAATCAAAGAAGAAAACTTACTAGCTTGTTGATAATGATGATACTGTTGAGGCATATTATAATAAGGAGATGAATTGATGAGACTTTTTTTAATAAGATGAAGAAGTTCATGAGGAACAGGAGCACCAGCTAACATATGTTTGTAAATCAAAGCCTGTAGTTCAAGTTCTTGCCACTGAGCTAAGCTGAAGTAACCATTTCCCATACCTATAGTCCAAAACAAGAAGATAAAATAATTGTTAAGAATTCCCACATCGGAAAAGGGATGAGAATTTGGTCTCCTTATATGGAGTTGAACAATCTTCCCCTCGTAAGCTAGCTTTTGGGGTTGAATTAGGCTCAATATCCATCTTTACAATAACTATGGATATGTTACATAATAACAAAAAAGCTCTAAACTTTAACAGACACAAGGAGTGAAGAAGTCAGTAATTTCATTAAGAGTGTCCAAGTTCAATACTCATAGTTCAAATAATATGTGTGGTAAGAAATCTACTATATGTATATACAAAATGGTAATCCAAACTCATAAAGGTCAAATCTTGAATACGTTTCTACGAATAAAAAAGCTTAAAACTTTAAGAGACACAAGTCACAGAGAAGTCAGAAATTTCATTAAGGACGGTACAAAAAGTAATGTTTGATTTCGACCGAATTCAATAATTTTGATTCACACATAGATATGTGTTAAAAGAAATCTACTAAATAGATAGAAAAGTCACATTTCGAACTCATAAAGTTTAAATCTTGAATTCGAACAGAGTAAGATAAAAGACAAAGGGAGTAAAGTAATAGTAGTATTTACTTACTGGGAAGTTTGGTGGGAGTAAGTGTTGAATCTGCAAATGCTGACAATTTATTGATAGGTTCAGATACAAATAATGGAAGAGCAAAAGAATCAGAATCAGAATGTGAATAACAAGAAGAAAAAGAGTCGAGATCAAGAACAAGTCTTGGTAACTTTGTTGATTTTTCTTCTTCTGATGATTCATTTCTCCATTGCTTCAACTTGAAGTCCATTGGTGGGGTTGGGGGGGAGGGTTGTTGAAGTTTAAAGTTTGGTTGTTGATGAAAAAAAGAAGCTTTTTTTGCAGTGAGTTCTTCAGTGGACCATTTTTGTATGTATCTTTGGCAGGAAGAGTTCAGTGAGAGAGAAGGAGGGGATAAAAAGCTGCAAAGTTACAGACTTTGATGAGGACACTCAAAGGATTTGAAAACTACTCCCTCCGTTCCATTTTATGTAAGATAGTTTGACTCAGCACAGAGTTTAAGAAAAAAAGAAAGACTTTTAAAATTTATGGTTCAAAATGAATGATAGAAACTTATGTGGCTGTAAATCATTTCATTAAAGGTAAACTAGACATTTTACAGTCAAATTGTTACTTAATATAGAATGTGACATTCTTTTGGGACTGATTAAAAAGGAAAGTAAGTTACATAAACCAGTACAGAGGGAGTAACTTTTAAGCTACCAACATGGGTTGTGGTGAAGCGATGGTAGGATAATTTTATCCTTAATTATAGGTTTTGAGTTTGAGCTCTGGATATGAAGAAAATTATATTGGGAGTGTCACTCAGTGGTGGAGCCACCTTATAGTTAGGGGTTCATCCGAACCTCCTTTGGCGAAAAATTATATTATTTATACATTGTTAAAATAATTTTTTAGGTACATATATAGTAGATGTTGAACTCCCTTCGGCTACTTCATGTGTCTATTTTTTCAGATTTTGAACCACCTTATTGAAAATCCTGGGTTCGCTATTGGTGCCACCTCCTAATGGGCTTTGCAGTGTGCAATCTGTATTTAGTCGGGGCTCCATTATGGACTCCGGACACCGAATGGAGATTTTTTTTAAAAAAAACTTACTTTTAAGCTTGCATTTCAACATGTGATATGAAGTCGTGATTTTAAAATTGTGTTTAGATATGTGATTTGAGATTTTCAAATTTTAATAGTTTTGATGTTAAGAATTTTAAAAGTTGAATCTATAAAGTTTAAATTTTAAATCTTATTTCTGGGTGAGTCAAACATGTAGTGAATATCAAATTTAGACTTTTTTTTTTGCATATACTACACTAAAAGAGAGATTTAATGGCAATACATAAAATATTTAGCGAGTTGCTATTGTTTTAAGCGTCATTTATATAAAGTGTTGATTATAACTATGCATTTATTATTGCCGCTAAATATAATATAACAACAATTATATTATTGTCGCTAAATCCTTGATAATATAATTATAACAAATCTTAGATATTTTTTATTGTTTTAAAACTAACAACAATAGCATGATTTCATATAATCTTATCGGTGAAATTTGGAAAGGATGATATGTATATAGCCTTACTTCTATTTTAAGAACGTAAAAAAATCATTTCGATAAATATTCGACTCAAATAAAACATATAAAAAGTTTCTACTTAGCTATAATCTTAACTTTCTTTAGAAGGTAGGGTAATATTATTATTATTATTTGGTCAAAAGCTACAAGATTATGTTACAAGTATAGGATGAACAAAGTTTAATTAATGATAGAGGTATTTTGGCTTGATGTGAAAGCCCTTTTACAAGTATCTTTCTTTAGAATGGAACAAGATTGTAAGTTTGATTAATTATTAATTAATTACAACTACCAAGATATTCCCTGTTAATATGTTTCTCTAGGTGTTATTTAACAGAGATAAGATAAGATAAAATATACAATTATTTAAATTAATTCATGTTTTTGTTAATTCCCCACATGCATGTCATGATAATGTCAAGTGCAACAATTTGACTCAAAACTTTTAACTTTTAATTTGTGGTCAAATGTCTTCATTTTGCTTCTGATTACTTCTTGTCATGATAATCATAAATTTATAATAAAGAATGTAGTCGTTTGCCTTTTTATTGGACTATCACGATATTTTCCAAAAATCAAAAAAATTTATCAACAAAAGAACAATATCATCATTTTTGTTCAATATGATACCAAAGTGGATGATTGACTCAAACAATTTCTATAGGGCGTAGGCCTCCCAAAAGGTAACGGAGACATGCAAAGATTTTTTCAGGCCGGACGGAGAACTAGTAATAGACACAAAATCATACATTTCGACTCTATATTTGTTCGAATAAAATGCTTAGCTGCCTCCTTAGTTTAAGACAAAACCAAGTCGATACATACATACATATGATCGATTGGATTCCAATATATCATATTGTTTCGCCTAACAACATGATGTTTGTATTACTCTCCCAAAATCTCATTTTAAGTTCCTTACTTCCATCAGTTTGATTGATCGTTTGGCAGTAAACCAATCCCTTGGACTACCATAAAAAAATATGATCTTATTATAAACTTGCTTGTTCATCGAACATGTTTGACGTATTTTCATAATAATCAAATTTAATATTTGTAACGTACCTAATGAATGTGATTCGATCTGAACTTTTAGTTCCATTCTATTTTGCTGTCATATTTTACATCTACTTATTCAATACTATACGTCGATAAGGAAAATATATATTTATACAACCAAACGTTTTAATATTTTTTTTTTAATAAAGATATTTGTTCTCATTAATAGGAGTATACAGTATTATTTTTTTTAAATCTGAAAAATAATTAAAGAAAAGATTGTAGTGGTTGGTCACATGTCTGTGAGTGAAGGAGACTACTCTATACATAACTGACACGAAATGTCAGATTAAAAAAATCACAGTTTTGTGTCAGAAATTTAACAGCTTCTTATGTGGGTCCCATTAGCCCCACCCCACACCTCAACTAAGCTCGGATTCGCATCGGAAAATTTCATATTGGGGTAGAGTTTTCCTTAACAAAGATGACTCGGACTTAAAGGGACTCGAATCCAAAACCTGTACTTATTAGTCCACCACAATTCTTAGTTGTCCATTTTTTTACATGACTTTAAGAACTCATTTGATACGAGGGATAAAGATAACTAATTCCGAAATCAATTTAGGATGTTTATCTCATGTTTGATTGAGATAAATCTGTGGATTAGCTATAACTTATTTTAAATTACTTATTTTGAGATTGTAGTATTATTTCTATCTGACTTTGAAAATTGAGGGTGGGATAATAATCCTGAAATAACTAATCTCGAGATAACTAATTAGGTGATAAATTATTTTCCAACCAAATGAGTCATAAGAAATTATAATTACAAAGGATAATTTTATTAATTTACCACTAGAAAAAACTTTTTTAGAACCTGATAAATTTGTATACACTTTCAAAAAAGAATTAATTATAATGATAGAATAGAATTTTTCTAAAACTGATTTTCTTTTGATTTTATATATTAATAAAATAATATAAAACAATTATTAATCAAAGTGAAAATGTAAGCATGCGATTAGCAACTTAAATTAATCACGTGCTTGCACGTGACTTATTTTTCCAAGGTCTTCCTTGTTTTCATACTACTAAAATTTTGTTTTGTTATTTTAAAGTTCAAAAATTGATATCTATTCTCCGCGCTTTAAATATGTCTGACGTTTAATGTTCTAAATCATTATTTCAAACAGTCATATTTTCTAAATCGTTATCCCAAAAAGGGTTAATCGGTTAAAGAAAAAACTCAAATCTAACAAAATAGATAGAATGAAATGGTACTTAGTCATATTGATTTAGTATTTAAACAGATAGGTACAATGAAGATAGATTCAAGTTATACTAATTTATCATGTCTTGTGAATAACTCAATAAGATATGACTTGTGAATAATTTAACAAGATAGGTCGAAAATAGCTCTAAGTCATACAAAATTTATCGCGATACATGAACAATTTAGCAAGGTTTGTAGAATAAAGATACTACCAAGTCATTTTTATACTGTTAGCACTTGTGAACAATTTAACAAAATAGCCAAAATGAAGAAATAACACTAAGTCATACCAATATGTAGTAAGTTTTGAATAATAGTTAAATACAAGCAAGATTTACCAATTCGACAAAACTTGTGAATAATTTGGGGATGAAATTAACAAGAGTGTGAAATCAACTAACTTATTTGTGCAAATTAACCCATTAAAACCAATTATTTCACACACCAAAACTTGGCCCATTTCTTTTTGTAGAGTTTAAGCCCAGCTAAAATATGAGGCCTTTTTGTTATGGATCATCAGGTATTTTCACATGAGAAAGGTTCAACAAAGAGGCAAAGTAGTGATATATTTTTTGGGAAAATTATGAAGAAGAACAAATATTTAGCCTATATTAGATACTATAGTTACAACTTAAGAAAATTATAGCTCCCGGCTACAGATTGGTTCCTTATTATATAAGTCCAGAATTTTGTATATGCTTACCGTAGCTATTTTATACGATTTACGAAAAAAATTATAATAAATTACCATGTTTGTATATTGGCAAGCGAAATATACAGACAGTTATGAAAAAAATTTCTTAATGTATAAATACAGAATTTGTATATACTTACCCTATTTGTATATTCGCAAGCAAAATATACAAACAGGGAAAAATATACAAATTGTAGCCTTCATAGCAAACAAAACTATACTTATGGAGTACAATTATCGATATTATAGTTATAGAGCCTTATTATGTCTATAATGTTTGTTATTTCTAAATTATTCTCATCTTTCTTTTCATTACGAACAATACACTTCACCTGTTCTTTTTCTGTGTCTACTAGAGCTCATGTCCAGAGCGAAGAGGTCGAAAAAGTGTCGACGAAGCAGCATAAGCAAGCTTCTATTGCTAAGTAACAATAAAACAAGATAGTATTTTGCGCTCATATATTTGAATGGGATAAGAAAGGGAATAATACCTTTTGGATAATTTTGGTATGTTTGGAACTATGAGCTATCGGTTCTGGCCCAATTATAATAGGATCCTTGAACATTCCAAATATTGAAAATAATATCTTCTTACTTATGTGAAAATTTTGTTTAAAAAGATGAAACAGGCCTATTTAGGAACAAGAAAATATCATCGCGATTTATTTTCAGTCTCATGTTTTCTTTCCTCTCCAAGTCAATATATCGCCTTCTTAGTTAACTGCAGAATCGCCCTTTGTTCCTCACCTTCTTCTCCCCTGGTCGTGTACGTGTGGACTATACACTTCTTAATAAAATCATTCTCGTTGACAATTATTTATTGAGAGCTATATTTTCATGATGTTTTAGCTATGAATTATATTTGAAAGTGTAAAC